TACTATCTTTAAAGGAGTATTAGGCACTTTCTGGCAGTTCTTACTCAAGTGCCTAAGGCCTTATACATGCAAAATAGTCAATAATACAAGACTATATGTTAATAAATGTCAATTTAAATAAACCAGGCAATAAATGTCACAGATTGTCACCATTTTATTTATTCACCATTTTATTTACTTATTTAAAAATAAGTGGGCCAGGGATGTAGCTCAGTGGTTCCGCCGCATGCCTCACAAGCACAAGGACCCGAGTTCAATCCCCGGTACCAAAAAAAAAAAAAAAAACCAATTTCAAAAAAATAGCTGAGAAAAATGACAACACCAAGTTCAAAATTTACAAGTTTAGAGAAATGTTAAATGACTACACTTTAGAGAATACCTTTGCAAAAGTATTCGTGACAAATGCAGATTCATCTCTAGTTAAGTATGCCTCAACAAAAAGCCACTATCTTTTAAAGAGAAAACAATAAATCAAAATAATAAGTATTTATGAAGTTTGCAACTAGTGAGCATAAAGCGTAAGAATCAATTAAAATCTATAACTGCTATGCCAAGGATAAAAATTATACACCTAGCAGAAGTTAAACTAAGGTTTCATTTAAACGACTAGGCAAAGTGCCATACCAAACCAGCAACAAAAATACAACAATCCAAAACGGCTTCACTGCAGTTAACTACTAGGCATACATAATACAGCACCTTTCTTCAGGAAATACAGACTTCTCAACATGTTTGGCCTTAGCCAGATGTGGGTGTACATGTCTGTCATCCTAGCACTTGGGAGGCTGAGGCAGGAGAATTGTGAGGTCAAGGCCAGCCTTTGCTACACAGTAAGAACTTATTTCAAAAAACAAAAAATGTTTGGCTCTAACAACTAGGATTCACTCTATAGCCAATAATATTCAGAATAGTAGGTATACTTTTTATTTTCAGGATTCATATTGTATTGTATACTATTAATTTGTATGGGGGGGGGTGTCTTTTTTTTTTTTTTTTTTGGTGATGCTGGAGATGGAACCAAGGGCCTTGCCAGGCAAGTGCTCTATTACTGAGCCACATCCCAACCCTAAATACATTTTAAATAGAGCAATTTCCAAGCTAAAAAAAAAGAAAAAACAGGGCTGGGGATTTAGCTCAGTGGTTCTGCCGCCTGCCTTTAAAGCACAAAGTCCCAAGTTCCATCCCCGGCACCAAAAAACAAAACAAAACAGTAATAACTGACATAAGAATAGTGGGGCAAGGAATTTTCATTTCCAACGTAATTAATTCTTTTCAAAGTACATAAAAACAAGTTACCTTCGCAATGAAATATTTTCATAACACACATCTAAAGGCAAGTTAAAATCTCAGTCTAAGAATGTAGCTCAGTGGTACAGCATTTGCCCAGCATACAGAAAATCCTAGAAACACACACACACAAACAAACACATAAACACACACAAATACACACACACACACACAATTTGTGGCCAGCTCAGTTTAAAATCAACTGAGCCTCAAGTCTCTGGCAAAACAGTGCATGACTCACTGATGTAGAACTCAGTGGGAAGAACTGGAAAATTTACTCTTAAGATTTTGCTTTGGAAAAAAAAAAAAGATTTTGCTTTGGGTTTGTTTTTTAAGACATCTTTATCTTAATGCCAACAACTTCTATGGTGTTTACAGTTTATTTATTAAAAGGACAAACTGAATGTGAACCACCTACAAATGAAAGTCTTATTTTTTTTCCCCAGATACCTAAAAAGCCATAAGATAAAATCATTCACATATATATGTATATACACAATAAAAAGGGGAAAAAACATTAACATTTTAATGTAATATAGACCATACAAAATGGATGTTCTAAATTAGAAAACCAAGAATTTTAAGACACTGATTTTTCCTTCCCAGAAACTTCTTCAAACTTTGTACGATATTTTACCTGAAATATTTATATAACAAAAATTTTAAGTGTCAAATAATCCTACTAAAATGTTTTCTCATTGAAAGTTTTATAAATATGAGATGAAGAATTTTAAAAGTTGACCTCCAAATTAAGCAAAAGATTCTGCCACATTTATCAGAAACATACACTGCTCTTAAGCCAAACTATCTTGAGCTCTTGATCACTGAAAAATCGTCATTCTGTGCTTTTGTAACTACAAATTGTAGGGATGAGGAAATGTCAGACATCCAATAGTGAATTATTCCCAACCCACTCATTCATCACCATACTAACACTTCTACTTTTTAATCAGTTTAAATGAACAAAAATGTGTAGATAATAAATTGACACATAAAGTTTATCAAAATCATTTACATGAATTTAAAATTCTTTTAAAATTGTCTACTCCTATAAATCCTTGATACAAGCCATTCAAGTGACCTACTCTCTATTTAAGCAGTACCTTACAAAAAGGTCCCTTTCAAGGGGCAACACAAGAGAAAAGGTCTATATAAAGAGCCTTTAATGCAATTTCTCCTTTTCCCCTCATTTTTGATGTTCATTATTTAAAAATCAAAAATAGATGACTGTATTAGTACAAACTAAAAAGACATATTGTAGTTTTCTTACTTTTTTTGCAGTATACCTACTGCTACTTCTCAAAGATTTCTAGTTTATCCATTTAATACTTACTTGACTAGACCAATAAAAAGAAAATACATGTGTGCATATATGTAAAATATATACACATATATAGACAATAAGTGTCTGCTTTAGACCAGGAACACTGTTCTATAACTCAATTATTCAAAGCTCATCTTGCAGAAAATGGGAAAACATGATATTTTAAGATTTACTATAGAGAAATGCTTTTGTTGTAGCAACAATTAGTATCAAATAATCTTACAAAACATAAGAGAAAAATGCTATGAAAGGGCAATCTAGCATTTCACAGCTTCAGCTCCCTTACTCCACCCAGTCTTCTCGGCTCAATGGTTGTTCACAGCATCCACAAATAGTAGCCCATTTTTTTAAAAGGAGGTGCAAGGAGGTACCAAAATAAGGTTTTCTCTATCTAAATCAACACATAAATATTTTATATGAAAAATGGGTTCCATTCACTGATGTTAAAAAAATACCAGCTTTAAATTTGTTTTAGAAACTCCTTTTCTCAACAGTTCACACAATGATCATTTATAACAGAACATGAAAGAATAAATCACCCTAAATTCAGATTACTATTCTGCTTTAACAAAAACCGCAATTTGCAACCATCAATTATTTTGCAAAAGTGCACCTTGAAGGACACACACTGGAGATTAAATGTCAACTAATACCTTAAAGCCAAATCAGAATCTTTTAAGTAAAACCTTTAAATATATATAACATATCACTACCGACATACCCACATAGGAAATATTCCTGATTAAGTAACTGAACCCTGCAGCAACCAAGCTCTGCTGCAGCAAAAAAAAAAAAAAATTAAGCAAACACTACCGTAGCAGAAGGGTTGGGTGATAATATTACTGGCATGAAAGGCCCAAGCACTGTCTCCTCCGCCCTAGCCTCAAAAAAAAAAAAAAAAAAAAAATCACACAAAACAACCCATCCCCAACAAAAATAGAAATACCCAAATTGGAACAAATATTTTGTTTAGCCTTTAACATGAGTCTTAAGGACCGTGGCCTTAAGTAGAGGTTGTAATAATAGTAATATATCTTCTTCCAATTGTCCCTTAAAAGTAAAGGGGAGGGGGACCTTGGCATGACATCGCCCATCCAGAAGAACACAAATCAGAGTCCCTTGTCTTCAAATGCACAGTTTCTTAACCAAAGGACTGCTATGAACTGGACCCAAACCCCAACCTAAAAGGAAAATCTACTGCCCTCCTCCCAAGGAGTTCTTGCTAAGTCACTGAAGAAAAGGCAGAATAACAAATAAAACCAGGTACCTCTCTCTTCTAGCTCAGATACTGATAACCTCCTCCTCCTCCTCCTCCTCCTTCTCCTCCTCCTCCTCCTCTCTGCTGTGATGTTTAGAGTCAAAATTTGCCCACCACCTCAAAGGCATTTTCTCACCTGGGATAGGCTAAATAGATTCAGGTACTGCGTTTCCTAAAGGAGTGGGGAGAAGAGATTAGAGGAAGGGGAATGGAAGAGGGCCTCGAAGCTTAGTGTTAACGTAAATAGGCAACTCCCGTCCGAAAAGCGGGTGTAGAAAGGAAAACCCTGCTCGATTCAAAGGGTAGATGCTGCAGACAGCTCAGGGGATCGGGCTCTCGTCCTTACGGATGCAGAGATTGGACCACTGCACCTGGGGGCCAGGGAGACGGCCATCCTGCTCACGTCAACCCCATCCTAAGGACAGGTGGGGACGGAACGCCTGGGAGGCCCTGTGGGTGCCGTGCCGAGCCGCGGAGGGGTGGGGACTACGGAGCTTGCCTCCGAGCCCGGGGAGAGAAGGCAGGCAGAGCCCTTTCCCCAAGACCAGAGACCAGCTCCCCACGCCCTTCCTATCCAATAATACTTTTCTTGCTAAGTCACCGCGGGAGGAGGGCGATCCCCTGCCGACAGGGCCGCGGGGAAGAGTCGCGACGGTCCCGGCGGCCCCCGAACCCGGGCCTGAAGGACGCAAGTGAGGGCAGCGCCCTCCCCGGCCAGGGCCCCCCCTCCTCCGAGCCTCACTCAACGGCCGTCGCGGCCGCCATTTTGAGAGCGAGGAGAGAAGAAGAAGGAGGCGGCGGCGGCAGGGGGAGGGGAGAAAGGGAGGGAGGGGACCGGCGCAGCCACATCGTCAGGCCGCCGGGCCCAGCCCGCAGCCGCCCGAGCGCGGTGGAGGAGACAGAGGGGAGGGTGCAGACCCTTGGCGCCTTACCGGAGCGCTGCACCGCCGCGTCCGCAGGGCCTCTTCCGTCCTTCACTCCCATCCACCGGCGGGGGAAGGGGGAGGGAGAGGGAAGGGAGGAAGGAGGGAGGGAGGGAAGGAGGGAGGGGAGGATGGCGCGCTGGGCCCGGTCCTCGGGAGGGGGAGGGGAGGGAAGCGGGCGGGCTCTTCAGCCGTTCCGGGGCTCGAGCCCAAGCCCAGCGCTCGCGGTTTCTGTTGCTCGCGCCCGAGCGCTTCCTTCCTGCCCTTTCTCGTTCTCTAGACCCTCGGGCCGCTGTTCAATCGCTCCCTCACTCGCTATCTCGGCCGTCGGACTCCGCCGCCGCCCCGCCGCTCCAGCTCCGTCTGTCACAGGAGCTGCCCCAGCGCCCTGACGTCACCGCGCCGCCGCCGCCCCAGACCCGCCAGGAAGAGGGAGGGGAGCGGAGGAGGGGCTGCGGCGCATGCGCGGGCGCGGCTGGGCCCCTGAGTCGCCGTCTTCGTCCTGGCGAGCGGGCGATCGCGGCCAGTGCTACTTGGCGGTACGGAGTGGCCGGTGGGCGAGCGTGCGCACGAGGCCCTGCTTTTCACGTCCCTCGTGCCGCTATAACCTTGGAAGAGCCCCTTTTTTCCTCGACTCTGTTGTGTCCCCTCACGAACTCTGGTCCCACTCACCTAACCGCCCCGCTTTTGCCCCACTGCATGCTGCGCTCTCTCCGCTTCCCCGGCGGACAGCGGGGACCAGTCGGCGCCCCTGCATCCCGGCCCCGGTAGGTTCCAGAGTAAGAAAGCCCGGGCCAGGCTATCGCCCATTCTGCCTGCGGCCTGCTGTATTATCACCACCCCGCCAAAAAGAAAGGGAAGTAGGTTGGTTTGCTTGGGAGGGGGAGCGGTTGAGGTTAAAACAAGCAGATGAAATGCCTTCGTTCTCTTCCTTTTTATTATAGATCTTTAATTGGGAGGATTCGCTTTTAGATGTGATTCAGCTGTTATTTTCCTTAGTCACACACCACGCATCAGAGACTCTAGAAGTCTCGAAACTGACTCCCAAAGAAAGACCTGGAACTTTATCCCTACAAGGAATATCGGCGTGAGTGTGTGTGTGTGTGTATGTTTGCTAAATTATCAGTTGAAATATTGATGACCTCGAAGTCTTGAGGATTTGTAGTCAATTTATTCCACACAGGAGACGCTTAATTTTTAAAACACCGGATTTGGAGTTTTGAATAATTCAATCTAAGATTCTTTTAATAAGTATTGAATGAGATTGTTTCATTATTAATTTATATTGTCCAAAACATAGGCTTAGGTTTATATTTACTGATTTTATTCTCTTTATGCAGGTAAATATACACTGTGTTTTTAAGCAATAGTGTTAGGCATTTCTGGTATGAATCCTGTTCCAACACATGCCAGAAGTGTGACCTTAGGTAAATTAACATACTTCTCTTTGGTCTCGATTTCTGTATTAAATAGACTTAGTAGCCAAGCATCGTGGTACACGCCTGTAGTCCCATCTACTCAGGTAGCTGAGGCAGGAAGATTAGGTGACACCAGGAACTCCTGGAGAACACAGCAAGATCCTCTTTCAGCTAGGGATTTAGCTGAGTGGCACCGAGCCTGCCTCACAAGCTCAAGGTCCTGAGTTCGATGCCCTGTACAAAAAAAAAAGATCCTCTTTCAAAAGTAACAATGATATATTGACCTAATAAATATTAACTTCTAAGGCTTTTGTGAGAATTGGAAAGAAGGTGCTGAATAGGTGATGGATCTCACCTTAGTGAAGCTCATGGGTGATTCATGTAACTATTTCTGTTGTTGGTACCAAAGTTTCTTTTACCAAGAAAGGTTGTCTCTATCCCTGAAGTTTTCAGAAAGGAGTATGAACCAATCATTTGAAGGGTTTGGGTGTTTACCTTCAAGAAGGTAGGAAACTAAATCACATAGTCTTTGAAAGATCATTTTCCAGATTTACAGTTCTAGGGTTCTCTAATGACAAAGACTATGAGGCACAGAGTTAGTCTATATGCTGCAATTACTTACACCCAATAAAAGTCAATAAGCATAGGGCTGGGGATTTAGCTCAGTGGTTCCGCCACCTGCCTCACAAGCACAAGGTCCCGAGTTTGATCCCCAGTCCCCCCCCCACAAAAAAAGAAAAGTCAATAAGCGCAGAATAAATTAGCCCTTGTAAGAATCTACCCTCCTTTCATTTTTACATTTTAAAATATTTAGTGTTGCCTGATAGTCATGCTGCTTAATATTTAATCAGCTGAGTAAATCGTTTCTTTACTTTTTTAAATGAATGCTTTAAAAGTTAACAAAATTGCTTAGAGAGAAATCAGAAGAGCATTGATGAATACCAATGTAATACAAATAGCTACCTCTAACCTCCACGAACCTTGAGCTCACAGGCTCATGTATTTAGAAAACAAATTTGTGGGCCGAGGATTTTGCTCAATGGCACACATGTGTGCCTGCCTCAAAAGCACACAGTCCTGAGTTCAATCCCCGGTGCCAAAAAAAAAATACACAAATTTGTATTACGGCAGGACATGATGGCACATGCTTATAATCGAAGAATTGAGGAGGCTGAGGTGGGAAGATTACATCAAGTTTGAGGGCAGCCTGGGCTACATAGTAAGCTCAAGAGGAACCTGAACGACATAGCAAGACCCTGTCTCTAAACAAATAAATACCAAAGCCCTTGAGGGGGAGCTAATAAAACTCTCCTTGGATATGATTTTTCTGGAAAAAAACCCAAAAAAACTATTGCATGCTTAATTCGATTTGGAGCAATATGTTGTGGTTCTGTGCACTCTCAGTTAGTTGCTAACACTATAGATCCATTTTAATAAACACTTGTCTACTGAAAATGGAGAATTAGGACATCTATGCTATCAATCATAATTCATAAAGACCTACTATATTCATCCAGGAAACATTTAATAATGGATATTTTGAATGATGTTTCTTGGGAAAAAAAAGTATAAACATCCGTTTTATTTAGCTCAGTTTAACAATCTCCCCATTCATTTAAATTGCAAATCTTTATTTTTCTAGCAGACATTTTCAAAATGGAAACATTTGTTTCAATTGCTACAGTAAAATTAGTGTTACTTTAAACAATTCTGCAAATAAGCTGACTGGAAGAAACACTCCAAAAATATTGCTATTGGAGAGAGAATAAAACGTCTTCTAAAGTATCTGCGGAGCAAAAATTTGCTCACAATGAGTACCAATGTTAAAAGATTATTTTTGAGAATTCAAATATACGTTGTATGTGCAAATATCATAGAAATCAATTAGCAAATGGTGAGAAAGAAGCTTTTGAGCATACAAATTATATGAATCAAAGTCCCATTTAAAGAACTATAGTCAGGCATGGTGGCGCATGCTTATAATCCAGCACTTGGGAGGCTGAGGCAGGAGGATTACCGTGAATTTGAGGCCAGCCTGGGGTACACAGTGAATTCAAGGCCAGCCTGAGCTACATAGCAAGACCCTGTCTCAAAAGATAAAAGGGCCAGGGATTTAGTTCAGTGGTTCGCTGTCCGCTTCACAAGCTCAAGGTCCTGAGTTTGATCCCCAGTACAAAAACAAAAGAAAAATAAAATAAAGACTTATGATCCAACTGCCAAAGGTCTCATGCTAGGATACTTTAGCTAATTAATTTGTGTGCCTACATTTCCCCAAAGCATGGATATGTCAATAAGGACAGATCGGACTAGACCAGTCATTCTTCATCTCACAGTCATGATATCCTCTTGTGTCATGAACACTAGTAGGCCATAGAAACAAATTAAAGGCTATTAACAGAGTGAAACTCAGCCTCGTTATAAAAGGACTATTTAAAAGCCACACTTTGCAATCCGAAAACTTTTAAACACAGGCGAATGCATATACATATATGTGCATGTATATATATGCACATTTACAGTGCTAACATAAACATCAGACAAAAGAATGATTAATTTAGGATGTCATCACATGGACCAGGCAGAAGGTAGAACAAACTTTGTTCACTGTTACTGTGTATCTAATGAAGTAAAAGATTAATTCTTACTTGAAGAAGTCTATATGAAGATGATTTAAAATAGAGTTTTAGGGCGAGTGATTTAGCTGTTCGATCCCTGGTACCAAAAAAAAATTTTTTTAAATAAAATAGAGTTTTAGAAAACAGCTAGGTGGCCGGGGATTTAGCTCAGTGGTTTCGCCACCCGCTGTGCAAGTGCAAGGACCTGAGTTCGATCCCTAATACCAAAAAAAAAAAAAAGAAAACAGCTAGGAACCCAGGAGTGATAGCATAGCCTATAATGCTGGCACTTTGGGAAGTTGAAGTAGAAGGATCTCAAATCTGAGCCTAGCCTGGGAAACTTGGCAATTTAGTGAGACCCTGTCTCAAAACTTTGAAAAAATTTTCAGTCTGAATATGTAGCTCAGTATGAAGGCCCTAGATTCAATCTACAGTATCTTAATTAATTCATTAAAATTAAAAATGGCTAAGGTAAATTGGGTGTGGTGTTGAATGTCTATAATCTTAGCTATACAGCAGCCCTCATGAGGATCACCGGTTCAAGCCCAGCCTGGAAAACAAGACCTTATCTCAAAATTTAAAAGGGGGTGAAGGGCCTGTGTTTAATTCTTACTACCACCAAAAAATAAAAGAGCCAAGGCTAGAGATGTAGCTCAGTGGTACAACTCTTGCCTTCTTGCTTAACATGCATTTGGTCCTAGGTTTAATTACCAGCACGCCATAAAATAAAAATTAAATATGGCAGGATATGGTAGCACATACCTATAGTCCCAGCACTCTGGGAGGCTGAGGCAGGAGCACTGCAATTTCGAGCCCAGCTTAGGCAATTTAGCAAGACCCTGTGTCAAAATAAAAATAAGGGTTGGGGGGCTGGGGGGCTGGGGATTTAAGTCAGTGGTGCTGCTGCCGCCCGCCTCGATAGCACAAGAACCTGAGTTCAATCCCCAGTACCAAATAAATAAATAACTAAATAAGGGTTGGGGATATAGCTAGTGAAAAGGCCCTGGGTTCAATCCCCAGTACTGTAAAAATAAATAAATAATCATATTTTGACCCTGCTATCGATCTTAAAGAATTTTAAAAAAATATTTATGCTATTATTTAACTTTTTATTGTAGCAAATTTCAAATATACTGTATACAAAAGTAGATAGAATGAAATAAATGAAATCTCATGTACCTGTCACCAGGTTTGACAATTATAAATTCACAGTGAATCTTGTATGGTGTACTCTCACCCATTTCTTCCCTTTTTTTTTTTTTCCCCCAGTACCGGGAATCAAACTCTGGACCTTGCGCTTGGGAGGCAGGCAGCGGCACCACAGAGCTAAATCCCCTGCCCTTCTTCTCATATTATTATTATTATTTATTTATTTATTTATTGGTACCTGGGATCGAACTCAGGACCTTGCATTTGCAAGGCAGGCGGCAGCACCACTGAGCTAAATCCCCAGCCCCCTTCTCATATTATTTTGAAGCACATACTGAATATCACATTACTTTGCCTACTAATTGTTTATTACTCCAAAAGAAAAGTAGCTCTTTTAAAAACAGTCACTATACCATACACCTAAAGGAATAACAATAGTTCTTTAAAGATATTTTGACCTGCCCCTTTTCTTTTGCCCATGAACAGAAGACAGAGAAATTGGACGAGCAATATAATTAAATAATCCTACACAATAGAGTTCTCCTGGAATACTCAAGTTGAACTACTCACAGTTTTCTCATGGAC